AGCTAAGTTTTCAATATCCTCCCATCTAAGTCTGAAACCAACTATAGTGATAAAACAAGGGATAGATGGACTCTTCTTTTATAAAGGAGAATTTCTCAGATGTCAAATAGATTATATTTATAGTCTGCAGATGTAACGACCACAGTATTGCCACTCATAATTTTTCAACTCTTTAGCAGTCCTTAAAAACTAAAGCATCATCTCTAGTCTTAACATATTTATTGCTTCTATTACATTTATAAATTTGAATATATCCACAAGGGAAGTTCTTACAAATTTCCAAAGAGCTTGACATAATACATCAACTACTCTTGACCAGAGGGATTCAGTGGAGGAAGCATTTAGGAACTGCAATCAGAAAACCTTTACTTTGACTTTTTTTCCTCTGATCTCTGCAAGCCTTAAACCTTGGCCTCCTCACCTGCAAGAAATGGATCAAAAAGTGTTCCCTAGCCTCTCAAGATGGCAGGAAATAGTGTTTATAGAAGCACTTTAGCTTCTAAGCGTTTGCCTTTCAGTTGTTCTTTTGATCCCCTCCAGAATTTTACCACCTTTGTTTTATTTTTGTTTGGAAATTTTGAGAGAGTTCTTCAGCACCTGTGAACAGCAGGTTTTTAAGTGGATTGGATATAGTTTTACAAAGCAGTATAATTGCAGTCTTAAATTTATGACCTATTTGGATTAGAAATCTCTGAACAGTTTCCCCAGTCCCAGTTATACTTTCGGTGGAACTGTGCAGAATGGGTTGTATATGCAGACTCCAGGAGCTGGCTGTTACCCTGAAATTTCTTATCACTTCGCATTTCCTCCTGCCTTGTCCTAAACCTTTTACTCTTGCTCCTCAAGGCTCACCATAGTGTGCCCTGACACCAACAGCTTCTCTTCCTTGTCTTTGATGTCAAATGACAAACTTCAATCCACATCCACAGAGACCCTCTTCACAGCTTCATGCTTGCTTCCTGCTTCAAGGTCTCCATGCTGTCTTCAGTGACAGCTGCCATTGATGTAGGAAATCAGTCTCTCCATCTTATCTGCTCTGCCTCATCTGTCTCCTAGTTTTCTTTCTTTCTTTTTTTTTTACTAAAGTTTCCTTTTTCCAATTTCCTCCATCATCCACAGATTACTGCTAAATTGAGATCAACTTGCAGAGGGCATCTGATGTGTCCTCCTAACACTGGAGGATAAGAGAATACACTCCACAAGAAGTGAATGTTAACGTTCTCTTTCGGTGTTTTCCCAAGCTTCCAGTCAAAACACAAAGTGAATTATCACTCTGAAAGTAAGCTGTTCCCTAGTTCCCTAACTAATTCCCTATTGATGTAGCTTGAGTCTATTTTTTCTCTTTTGATTTCTCTGGGGTACTTCTCTCTGATTTGTGCAGGAAATATAGGGGATCTCAAAATCTTAGAGCCACATGATTTACCTATATCTCTTCTTTTAAAAATGTCCTCACTGTCATATAGCCCCACTGGTCAGGGGTGGCTATATTGGTATTTGCTTACACTAATGAGGATCATGTAGCCTAAAAGGATAATTGCTTCAGCTCAGTAGCCTCACCACTTTTTACTAGTTATGATTGGAAGGCATGTTTAACCTGTATTCACTAAAATCTGTGTTCTTCAATGTCTCATCCTCTGATTCAATGCTTTGTCCTCAGGAATTCACAGTTGCTGATGTAGTCAAATACTTGCCTGTCTTTTACCATTCTTTGCTACTTTCCCAAAACCTGTCACAGACTCCTGAAACAAAGTAAGCGCATGAGAAAATTGTATTGGGGGCCAGAGAAATAATACAAGGATTAAGGTACCTACTTGCATGCGGCTGGCCTCATCCCATATGGTCCCTGAGCATCACCAGAAGTGACTCCTCAAACAGAATCAGGGATAGATCCTGATGTGGCCCCAAAAGCCCACCCCACACCACAAAGTAAATTTGTCTAGAACGAATGAATTTTTGGTTTATTTTACAGAATTACACTTTGCATCTCAGATGTGGTATATTCTCCAGAAAAAGCATCCTTATTTCACATAAGAAAAAGTTTCCTGTGTCATATAGTTTTGGTTCTCTTTGTGTCTCTAAATTTGTCTTGGTTAGAATTAAAAACATTTATGTTACATTTTATGTATGCAGTATATAATTATATAGCTGTACTTAAATGGACATAGTATATATGAGATATATATATATTTGTGTATATGACGTTTCTTTTTCTACATAAGTAAAACTATCCAAGTATAGCACTGAGTAAACAAATACAAATAATTCCCATTAACTTATAAGAAACATACTTTGGCACTCTAAATCCTCTCACAGTCAAATGATTTTGTTTAGTATTATTAATTTATATTTTTGACACTATTATGTCATTAAACTATTTTTAAAAGGAAAAATTGAAGCAATTCTACCACCCTCCTACAGCTGTTATCATTTTTCTGGCTTTTCTAATCTTGCTTAAATATAAAAATAACTTTGTTATAAATATGCTATAGATGTTACATTGAAACTTGTTATGTAAGATTTTCTCATATGGTTATAATCTTGTGTTATAATCAATATGTATTTACCATATTGTATATAAATCTCCATTTTAATTTATTGGCATAGTGGAACTACATAAATTTGATATAAAATAACAAATTTATAAATTCCCAATTATTAAACTATTTCCACCTTTCGTGATAAACTTCATTTTTTCATTTCATCATCCTGTTAATCGTCGATTGCCTCGAGCAGGCCCCAGTAACGTCTCTTTCATCCTAGCCCTGAGATTATGTTCACGGCTCTTAAGGAGAATGAGACCCATCATTGTTACTGGTATTTGGCATATTTGGTAGGCCACGGGGAGTTTGCCAGACTCTGCCCTGTGGGCAGGCTACATTCGATAGCCTGCAAGTTTGTACAAAGTAGGAATGAGATAATAAGATGTCATAAAGAAAAGTTCTGATAAGATGTCGCGTGGCCGCGAATGCTGGTCCTGAAGGTCTCCGGCTGCCGTAGCCCTGGCCGGGGCGGGGAGGAAAGCTCAACCCGCTCCCCTCCAAGGGACTCCGGGAAGGAACACCCAGGCGCGGGGGCAGAGACTGCACTGTTCTCATTCGGGATCTGGATTTTATAGTCTCTGAGTCTTGGCCACTGATGGGATTACACGGCGCCAGGGGGCCAGGTGGTGGGTGTGACCCCCGCCTACTGGAATTTGGAGGATCTGGGTGGAAGATGCTCGACTCCAATTCGAGTAGGCTTGGAGGTCTCGGCCCCGGAACCCGCGTGGCTTTGTCCCTCTGCCAGTACCTTCATGTGTGCGGAGAGTGGTCTCAGCATGGTGGTGGCTGGTCCTGGAGGTCTCCGGCTGCCGTAGCCCTGGCCGGGGCAGGGAGGAAAGCTCAACCCGCTCCCCTCCAAGGGACTCCGGGAAGGAACACCCAGGCGCGGGGGCAGAGACTGCACTGTTCTCGTCCGTGATAAACTTAATGTAGTTTATACACAACTTGCTTTTAATAATAAGCACTTGAAACTTATATATTGTTATAATGCAATATTATTTCAACTGGAAACAGTAAATTAAATACATTACAACAAGAAAATTGCAAGTTCTGTTAACAATATCAAATAAAATTGTTATAGATACTGCCATGAATATTATTTATGTTTATGTTTTCTTTCTATTTATCATCACTTATCACTTAATCACTTAATCCCCGTTATTCAATGATTTATTCGAGCGGGTGCCAGTAACGTCTCCATTCATCCCGGTTGCGTGCTAGCGTAGCCCAATGGTATCTGTTCGTTTTAGGAACATGTAGAGCCTCAAACCGATCATTTAGGGTCTTGACGAAGAAGTCTGACCATCTTATAGGTGGGTGTCCACGTGATCTTTTGATGTCTCATGGAATCCAATCAGTAATGGCTCTAGTCCAGCGGTTGTCTGTAAACCTCATTACGTGTCCAGCCCATCTGATTTTTGATGTCTTGGCAAATGAGACAGCGTCCCTGATTCTTGAGCGTTGACGAAGATCAGAACTCCGGATTCTATCTCTCATTTGAGTGAATCGTGATATTCCAAGCTTAGTTCTTTCGATTCCTCTTTGAGAGACCCGAATAGCGTTCTCATCCTGTTTTCGTAGGGTCCAGGTCTCTGAGGCATATGTTAATGCAGGAAGAATAGTGGAATCAAAGAGATGTGCTCGTAGCTGGAGGTTCTTTGTCCTTTTAGTTATTTCTTCAATGCTCTTGAAGGCATTCCAAGCCGCTCTCTTCCTCCTGCGCAACTCAGGTGCCAGGTCATTCATCATGTTGATTTCTCGACCTAGGTATATATAACTGTTGCATTCGGAGGTGGTGGTTCCGTTGAGAGCGAATGGAGCGTCAGGAACCAGGCTGTTTCTCATAAACATTGTCTTCGTAAGATTCAGCTGTAGTCCGACTTTTCCACATTCACGGTCAAAGTCGTTCAGCATTTGTGCCGCTTGGTTGATGTTTGGTGTTATTACAACGATGTCATCGGCAAAGCGGAGGTGGTGTAGTTGCCGACCATCTATCTTCACTCCCATGTTTTCCCATTCCAGTCGTCGCATGATGTTCTCGAGGGTGGCACTGAAGAGTTTTGGTGAAATGGTATCACCCTGCCGAACCCCTCTCTTGATATGGATGATTACTTCTTTGTAGAATGGTGAGATCTTGGTAGTGAATCCGAAATAGAGTTCACAAAGGATCCTGATGTATTGAGTTTGTACGCCCTGATTGGCTAGGGCTTCCATGACCGCTTCCGTCTCAACAGAATCAAAGGCCTTCCTTAAATCAATGAACGTTAGACAGAGCGGCATCTTGAACTCCTGAGATACCTCAATGAGCTTGGTTATTGTGTGGATATGGTCGATGGTACTGAATCCTTTTCGGAATCCAGCTTGTTCACATGGTTGTCCTTCATCTAGTGTTCTGCTATTTATCTATTTATCATGCCATATAAAAAACTTTTCTTATCTCTATTATCATTTAAAAGTATTTTACATACCTGTCAGGGGAGATACCATGATCACTAAGGTGTTTAAATCAGAGCAAGTATTATCCATTGAACTCCAGATGTGTTGAGTTCTGTGATTTTCCAGTTGAGAAATCCAACTGCATAATTTGTGGTAGTGAGGGACTATTTCTCACTCTCCTAAGAGGTGCAAAGGTTATTTCACAGCCTATGTAAATGAGTTTTTACTATATTATTTGTGTATATTTGTGCTATTTATTTCGAGTTTCATTTCAATGTAGTAAAATGTTCAAAGATATCTATAAAACTTTGGCTTAATGGGACTTGAGAGATAGTACAGCAGGTAAGATGTTTACCTTGCACACAGCTGACCTAGGTTTGATCCCCAGCATCCAGACTGTCCTCTGATCTTATCAGGAGAGAGTTTTGACCTCAGATCCAAGAGAAATCCCTCAGTACTTCCAGGTGTGGCCCCAAAACAAAATAAAAACTATTTGACTTGACAATTATTTATTCCATTTATATGCTAATTAATCATTAAATTTATAAGCTACGTATAATCACTGTCACTGTCACTGTCCTCCCATTGTTCATCGATTTTCTCCAGCGGGCCCAGTAACGTCTCCATTGTGAGACTTTGTTGTTACTGTGTCTGGCATATCGAATACATCACGGGTAGCTTGCCAGGCTCTGCCATGCGGGCGAGATACTCTCGGTAGCCGGGCTTTCCGAGAGGGGCGGAGGAATCGAACTCGGGTCGGCCATGTAGCCTGCGTGCAAGGCAAATGCCCTACCGCTGTGCTATAAATGATATTGTATTGATACACTTATTTAAAAAACAACTGGAAAGTTTTACTTCAAAAAATTTTAAAAATATTTAATTGATACCAGGCACTATACTATAACTAGTGATACAAGTTCAAACTAAGAAAAACAAACCAGGAGGAGAAAGGTAAACACCTGATGATCTCACCCATGTGTAGTATGTAGAGAAACAAAGAATGGGATTAGACAATGTCCAAGGGAAACAGACCTTTAAACTCTGATGAGAGAACCAAGTAGTCAAGCATGTGAACAGTGAAAAGGATCAGTCTGATAGCCAATGATGAAAAGTTATTGACACATTGGTGATGGAATGTACACGTATGGTAGCGGGGTAGCACTGTGGCACTATCCTCCCATTGTTCATTGATTTGCTCGAGCAGCACCAGTAACATATCCATTGTGAGACTTGTTGTTACTGTTTTTGACATATCAAATATGCCACGGGGAGTTAGTCAGGCTCTGCTGTGCGAGCAGGATACTCTCGGTAGAGAGGAAACACGCATGGGTATGGTACCTAGTTAAAATAAGTAATAAACAATTACCTAATAAAATTATGACTCATTTATACCATGTCACAGTATACCATGCATGCCAGAAATTAGAAATTAGACAGAATACAATCCTTGCCTTTCAATCAGAATATAAACTTGATTGCCTAGTCAAAGAGGAATCAAATTTTATCAAGGAAGAATGAAGTGAAAATAAATTGAAATAAGTATTATTTGCTAGTCTGAGGCACTATTATTCTTTTTTTTTTGTAATTGGGGGACTCCAATCATTTGTGCTCATGTCTTACTATTGACTTTAATTCAGATCATCCCTGGAATTTTCTCAGGGAATCATATGTAGTGCTGGGGATCAAACCCAAGTCAGACTTTGCACAGGGCAGAATTACAGCAGGTTCTGTGAGCATCATAGAACCTTGAATTTGGAGCCTTTAATAATAGCAGGGATGACTTAACTCTATGCTAAATTAACACAAACCTACATTCACGTCCACCTACTTTTCTTGGTTCACCTTGGATGGAGGGGGGTTTTAAATGAAAGCTGAACTTCTGTGTCCTCCAGTGACAGTGTCCTACATGTAAGGACCACACCTGGGAAAGACTGTGAATGGAGTATGAAGACATATTTTGGATTTGTCCACACATAGGCAGGGTAAATGCCCCAGCAATATTGAATGGAGGCTGAAGGCAATGAGTAGAGAAAGATGAGTGACTAGACAGGGCAAGAGACTAGAGCTGCTTCCCCTTGAAATCAGGTTATACATACAAGTCTGAAAACTCTAACTTGAATCTTGTATTCCAGGTGCTTTCGAGGTTATATTTGTCAAGGTAGGAGGCTGGACCATATTTTATTTCCTGATTAATTCTCTTATAGTTTAAAATATTTAGACACATAGAATGTGTGCCTTCCTTTGTATTCTTGCCCCAGGTCTTGAAAATGTTGGTCTAGGTCTGGCACTAAGCTGCTATGGGGACACCTAGTAGTGAGATTGAAACTTAGAGAAGGAGATCACAAATGGCCTGAGTGAATCATGATTCATAAAAATTTGCTCAGCCATAAAATATGCTGTCGTAAAATCTACTCTACTAATAGGTGATGGTAGAAAAGTCACTTTGTCATCTTAAATGGCAGAGAAGACATTTGATGAGATTCAGTAACAGCTTTGTTCAAAAATGTTAGCAAAAACAACCCAAAACAAAACAAAAAGAACACAGTTATTCTCAACTATTTAATTTATTTTCTAGCCCATTTTACTTTTTCAAATGTTCATGGATGTTGATATCTTTCTCTTTTTCTGATGGTCTAAAGCAAAAGCTCTATTTTCATTTAATCCACCACTTTTAAAAAGCTCTGTGCCATGGTTTGCTGTCACTGTAGTTATTGGTTCTAGTCCCAATCTTGAAGGCATGAGTTATGTAAATTTACTATTCACTTGTTAAAATACTCTGTATTGCAAACTGCCCTATTTCAGGATTCAATGGAAGACTCTGTTTTCCTCTTTTTATTTGTATTTGTTTGGTCAACTATTGCTTAGAGCTGGTGTTTAGACCAGGAAGCAACTACTCTCCCAAGAGGTTCCAATGCCTCAATTATTAATCAGCTTCTCCTGGAGGCAAATGGCATTCATTCCCTACTACCTCCAGTCTGGACCCACAATCAGGAACAAGGCATAGGAGAGCAGCAGAAGTAGAAGTTCTGGTCGGGTTGGCTCTGAGAAATGAGCGCTTAATAAAATACAAACAAGTTTCATGTCATTTTGAATCTGAGTAAGAATGAAAGTCTACTTAAAGTTGCTTTCCTGGTCACTATCCAGTATCTGTTATCTGTTTGCTATCTTCTCTTTCTCCCTCTAGCTTGTTTTATTCCTCCATTTCTCTCTCCTCCATTCTCTTTCCATTACCCCTTCTCTTTCTCCTTCTCCATCTCCTCTCCTCTCCACTAAAACCACCCTTCCTCTTTACCCTCTCTTAATCTGCTTCTTCTCTTCTCTCTCCCACTTCTTCCCTCTCTCTCCCCTCCCCAGGTTTCCCCACTCCATTTTCCCCTCTCTTCCATTCCAGTTGGGATTCCAGAACCCATGCCTCCTCCCTCTTTCTCCTCTGTCTCCAACTCTATCTCTTCTTTCCATCTCTCCCTTTCCCTCTCTCTCTCTCTCTCTCTCTCTCTCTCTCTCTCTCTCTCTCACCCACTAGAGAAACGGAGTGCTGCATATTCTCAACATGCATTTCAGAGGTAGTATCTAATTCCAAGTTGGTATAAGATACAATTATTTTTTCTTCAATAGCTTAAATCCCATGTTAATATTTTAGACACCAAATATGTTTACGCAAAATTCTCCCACACTAAATGGAAGGTAGGGCTTTAAGATGTGTGACTTTGAATTCCTCTAGGACTTTTAAGTTTCTAAGTCAGAGAAGACATTTGGAATGTGTCCAGTCATGCTTTATTCATTTCAATCTGAAGACTTGGCAAGATGACAAGTTGTCTAGAACTTATCTTTTTATTCTCAGATTTAGTTTTTACACACAAAATAGATCTCTGGAACTATTTCCTGAGAGAGGAGGGATAGAGTAGGTGTTAAGACTCTTGCCTTGCATATAACCAATCCCCGTTTGATTGCCATTGTGATAAATTATCCCATGATGACTGCCATGATCCCCGAGCAAGGAGTTAAGAGTAAGCTCTGAGCAGCATCAAGTGTGCCCTCAACAAAAATAAATAAATAAACAAATAAATAAATAAAACGATTTTCATAAGATAAATTTCCCACCAGAATTTCCCCCATAAACTCTCCCCTGAATCTCACTTCCCATGACTTCTCCTTAATTTTTCTTTTCGCTATACCCATAGTATCCCCAGCTCTAGATATCAAAAATAACAATCGAATGATAAATGAAACGGGCACACAAATAGCTTAAACTAACATTTTTTGAAGTTTCAGCATGAAAACGCAACCTTAGATTTTCCTCCTCCTAAGATTTTATTCTGCTCTGCAATTTTTATGTTTTGCCTTTTGACTTGCTCTTTGTGACTTTGTTTAGTGTTTAACTACTTGATCTGGGAAAATTTTTTTACTTTTTATAGACTTCAGTGGCTTTTGGTGAAAGGAGTCCTGGTCTGGGTCTAAAAGACTTCTTGCCTATGGCAAGATTTACATTCTGTCCTCCATAATTTCTGTTCTGGAAAATCAAGACCTATATAGTCCTACACAAAGTGGTTAATAAAAGGAAATAAAATTTAAATAATATTAAATTTAGTAATGATAAATGCATTTAATACTTTAGGGTAATGTTTCGCATGGTATGTGGAATGCTATGGTACGATGTGACCTAGTATAGAATAAATAGTCACAATTATATTAGGCAATTGTTCATTATTTTTACTAGGCATTATGTGTGTACTTCTATTAAATTTTTAGGTAACAGATACAAGAGTGTTTATGCATTTTTTTGGGTCAGACCTGGCGATGCACAGGGGTTACTCCTGGCGGTGTTCAGGGGACCAGATGGGATGCTGGGAATCAAACACGGGTCAGCCGCATACAAGGCAAACACCCTACCTGCTGTGCTATCTCCCCAGCCCCGAGAGTGTTTATTCATTTAGCGGTATTCTGTTATGACATCCACACCAATTACCAGTGTGCCAATAACTCTCACCTTTGTCTATAGGATTCATCACTTCTATTCCCCACTTGCTTGACTAATTGGTTCTATCATCGTAGTTTAAAGGTCTGTTTATGCTCTTGGGCATTGTCTAATTTCCTGCTTTGTTTCGCTGTAATCCTCAGATGGGTGAGATCATCTGGTATTTATCTTTCTTCTACTGATTTATTTTCCTTAGCGTTACCCA